ACACCTGTTTGGCTGGACAATATGTGAGCGCAGCTACATGTAAAAATATAGTCACACTATAAAAGGAGAGAAATAATTAGATGCATCTAAAAAAAACAGGTTGTTATGTGATAGTTACAAAATCTATTAAAAATGTACATTATTATTAATAATAATATATACCATATAAATATGTTTTGTCCAACTGCAAATAATAAAAAAAAAACAGAGTAAATCTTTGGACCAAAGGAGGAAAGATCCAGCGTTTGCACACACAGCTTTAACTGATACAACTGGAAATCACAGGTTACTGCAAACATCATAGTGTCATGATGAGATCAGAGCTGAACCTTCAGAGCCACAGAAAGGCAGTTAATAAGTCAGTCTTTTATCACCTGAAGAACATTTCCAAGATTAAAGTACTACTTAAAAAAATCTTTTTTTTTTTCTTTTCTTCCCTGATTTAAATGTTACTTCTACATCATGGAGAGATGAAAAGCCCCTTCTCTTCCAAATGTGTTCCTATGTTGACTCTATTTTAACTTTTGCAGGGTACATAAAGCAGCAAAACAACTCCAAGTCTTTGATTCTATGTACTCTGTTGCCCTCTCCTGGCTGTTTTTTGTTTATGCAAGCTCTCAATCTATCCGTGCCTAAATCGTTTGAAAGTCATTTCTTGTAATTTTTATCATGATTAAACTGATGTAATGTAACATTCTCATGTAAATATAAATCTCAAGCTCATCAAATCCCTTTTTTTTCATTTTAACCTCTAATGCAAACATCATTGTAATCTATGGTAATACAACTATCCTGTAAAGAGGAAATCACTCACACCACATTTGTGGGGGTAAGGTGAACACATCGCATATAACATCTCATTGCTGCTTTTTATGCCTATTTCTGTGTCAAGAAGTTGTCAGTCAAAGGACAAGTAACCACTTTCAGTTCCTCTGTAAGTAAGACTGAACCATTCTTTGCAATAAGACTTAAAAAATGGAACCAACTGCAGCTGACTAGTTTATATTAATTACAGATGTTAAAATGAGGAGGATTTGTCCCCTTGGAAGAAAGGCTGTAGCGCCCCAGGGGCCTCCTCACCGGTTCTTTTCCTGGGAGCAAGTTATTTACTACTCTTAATTCAAACTGGGTAAAACCATATAAAAAGGACTATAAAACAGGAGTAAAAAATAACAAGTTTATTCCAGATCAGGTCGTTACAGGACAGAGAATAATGCTTAGAGCTTGCACAGCTGTGGGTTCAAAAATCATGTCCGCGAGCGTCCGGCAAAGTTTGGGCCCGGAACAAGATCATCTCTTCCTTCTTATAGCTCAAGAGTCTATGTGTTGCATCATGTTGATGTTTAGCTGTCCGTATCAGAAACTGAAACACCATCCATGTCTTGAACTTCATGCAGCTTGCTTCTATACTTCAGGGTTACATATAGCTATCCTCTATCAGACCGGCTCCAAGATGTGCCCATATCCTGTGTACTCTTAAAGACACGAAGGCTGTCCTGATTAGATGACCTCCGTACACACCGTGACATCCACAATGTGAAGGAAGGCCCTCTACTCTGTCTAATCTGACTAACAAAATAACAATGCACATGATGTATAAATGATAAACCTAACACAGATTTGCATTTCTTCTTTGGTTCGATATTGTGGATAATTCGTGTAACTGTTTTTTTTCTGGTTTGGCATTGTTTATTTTTCAAACTATTTGTATTAGCTTCTATTAATTGATTAATTCATTTATTCTCAGGTTACATTAGAGCTTAGTTTATGTGTCAGATTAGATATGCAGATATGCAAAAGTTCTCCAGCTTGAGCCATCCATACCCCCTTTGTTTATGCAGGGCCATTGGAGAAGTTTGGGTTTTATTTCCACCAATCATTGGGCTTAACTGCTGGGTAAACCCTGGACAGGATATCGGCACATCACAGGAAACTGGGGTAAAACTGTGCATATTCTTACACTTAATGGTAAGTTAGAGAGTAGCAGCACAACAAAAATAAGCTTCAGACTCAGGTTTTAAAATAGCAGATGCTCACTTCACACCTAAGTATTCTCAGCTACGTCCTTTGTTAAGTTTTCTAACCAGTCTCTGTCTTACCGGGGTTTATGAGGAACTAAGAAGCACAAAACAACAGTCAAACCTTTTAGTTCCTTTGTTAATAATGGTGTTGGTCCCCTGCCACCCCCTCCCCCGACACACCAACACACACACACACACACACACACACACACACACACACACACACACACACACACACACACACACACACACACACACACACACACACACACACACACACACACAAAAAGATAAACTATTCAGAGATCACATCAGATATAACCTTGAACCTCATGATATAAACTTGTGTTATAGTTCAAAGCATGATCAGTACAGGAAATAAATAATGTTGGGATCCTCAGGCTTGCCCACCAGAGGGCGCCGAGGATCCTCTTCTGTTCTGTGTATTTTTCCCCTAGGGCTGGAATCTTCCTGCACACCTGTTGCTTATCCTCTCATCAGAAGACTGCTCCTTTATAAGCTCCTGCCTGACCTTGCTTCCACGCCGCAGTGTTGATCTTAGTTGGTTAGCTTCCTGAGCCTTCTGTTACAGATTGAATCTTGGTTGTCTCTAGTGTGAGATCTGATTCTAATCTCTCCTTTGTCTGTGCCTCACAGGAAACCTGTCTCTGGTCTGAAGCTCAGTAGGAGCTGCCTCACTGGAAACCTGTCTCTGGTCTGAAGCTCAGGAAGAGCTGCCTCACTGGAACCCTGTCTCTGGTCTGAAGCTCTGGGAGAGCTGCATCACAGGAAACCAGTCTCAAGCCTGAAGCTCTAGGAGAGCTTAACCTGCTAATATGCCCTGGTGAGCCAACCCAAAGATTCCTACGTGGATGTAACCTGATGACTTCCATGTGGAGTTTCCCTGGAGGTTCCTATGTGGAATCAGCTTCAAGAATCCAATGAGGATTTTATCCCCTGTTGTTCTCTGCTGTGAGCTGGAAGCTCAGATCAAAGCCAGCCATGCTAAGCATGAAGCTAGATGCTTAGCCTATTCAATTCAATTCAATTCAATTCAGTTTATTTATATAGCGCCAAATTCACAACACATGTCATCTCAAGGCACTTTACAGTTCAACCAGATCATACAGTTATTCATGAACTCTGCTAACCTACAACCTCCCGTACCAGTCTTATCTCCAGTTAACCTGCTCCCCTGTCTGAACCAGTTCCCGTATCACTTTCATGTTTGTGCTTTAATAAACTCGTTTGGACTTTTACCCAGTTTCCCGTGTGTGTGTTCTGCATTTTGGGCTTTACTCTAGAACCCATCATGACAAATAAAGCATTTTCCTTTACTTTATGGGAGCATGCAACCCATCACCTTAGGTTAGCATGTTAAAAAAAACAGAAGAACTCTAACATGTAAGCTACTACATATATGAAAGGATCTCAGATACAAATTGGCAAGTACAGCATAATACAGCCTAAAAAAATTAACAAACAAATAAAAGCATTGCATAAAAAACAACAAAAACAACACATTTCTACATATATTAAAACAAAGTCGGCATAAACCATTTGAGACATGCACTGCAATCAATGGTACAAAGTGACTGGATAAATCCCCATGTTTTAAACATGTAACTCAAGCTACAAAAATTTGAATGATCAACCTATATAACTGTTTTCTTTTTGCTAAATAGTCCAAATAATTCAAATGTATACTTAATAAACCAGTCACTATACTTACTGTATGTGCACTTTTACCACATAAACTTTAGCATACAACTAAGTTCTATCTCCTACTGTTAAATGGGATCAAACTTGCCAAAAAAATTAAACTGTCAAACCTGTAAGGTTACACCTAATATACACAAAAGGTGTATCTAATTAATCAGAATATCATAAAAAGGCAGATATGTTACTAATTCACTTATTCAAAGTCAAACATATGTTACATATATACAAAACACTATACACCATAATTAAAATATTTTTTATTGTGACAAGAGATGTTAAGCTGACACTATAAATGAATTGCTATTATATAATTTAGTAATATAGTACGATATATAATATAGTACTATAGTAATATAGTACGATTAAAACATGACCCTTCTTTTTGTTGTACACTTTTTGCACATAATAGAAAAAGACAACATTGGAGTGCAAATAAAAAAAATGTATGATCTTTTTTTTGGTAGATTAAACTTTTGTTATTGATGTTATATACATCAAAAAATGTACGCCTTATTGGGATGACATTAAGATAACAGTAAATCCAAATAACTAGTTAATTTACTATTTTACGTTTTACGTAATAAATGAATACCTACTGAAATATGTATAAGCATATCTCAATAAACATAATGCATACAGTATATCTAAATGTTTTATAATGAGATTTAATAAGCAATGATATAATAATTCGGTTTCATTTTAAAAAGCATATTCAATTATTTAAAGGCATATTTAACTATTTATCCACTCTATAATTATATGCATTTGTGCATTTATTTTTTATTGATTTATTAAATAAACAAATAGTATATTTATTAATCTAAAGCAACATTTTGAGCCAATAGAGGCGCTAGATCTGTAACCTTAACGTTTAGGACACGTGCAACAATTGAAAAATCTCCCTCTGGACCATTTTGAACCTGCAGATTGAGAAGAACAATGCCAAATTAACCCCCTAAGATCAAATCAGAAAAGCAAAATTATGTCTGATCAGGAAGTGTCAAATCTGTTTGTGTTTTTTTTTTTTGGTTTTTGTTGTTTTGCTTTAAAACAGTTTTATTGCATAGTTAGCTCTACTATTTATGTGCAGCCCAGACCGCCATAAAGCCCAGCTTTAGGTCACATGACTCCTTCAGCAAAGGACTCAACTCTCTCCAGTTAGATAGGCAAGTTAAAAAAAGGCCAGCATCGGTGGAGCACCAGCATGCCCCTAGTGCAGTATATTAAACTGAAAATTATTGAATAAATCTCAAATTAAACTAAAATGTAGGGCTAAAATAATATAAAGTGTTGCTTTTATATGACATTTAAAGGTTTTATTTGTTTTATACAAAGTTTAGCTCATGGTACATTTACATCTAATTATTTCATGATATGTTTATTTATTTAATGTTGTCCCTTCCAACCCTCCAAAGAACTGAAGTGCATATTGGTGCAAGCCCATGGTGATAACCTTATTAGATTATGCACTAGAAATTCCTTTGACTATTTCAGCATTGTCTTGGTCCATTCAACAGGTCTGTGTTCTCAGTCAGAGTGTCTCCTGTCTTCAGAGCTCTCTGGACATTTTGCCAAAAGACTCCCGGGTGTTGTGCAGCTTGAGGCCAGCTTAGGTAGGTGTGTTTCTTCACCAGCTTTCTAATGTGGTAACATGGAGACAGATACCGGGAAGGGATGTCCTCCAAAAATAACAGGATCAGCACATCTTTCTTCTCATCAAACAGACGATAGCTGAAGGTATTGAATTAAAGAGAAAAACAGTATTTATGACTTTTTTCCACAAAGCATGCTATGGTTTTAATGGTATGGTTGGATCTGTCCTGTGTGCTGCTGGGATATTGGGGTTTGAGGCAATGAAACATATCAGTGCCCTTTCAAAGCAGTCACTGGATATTTTTAGGTGTTCATAAGTTCACAACTAAACTAGCTGTAGTGCCTACAGGGTGATATGAGTTGGGAGCCTTGCCTCATAAAGCAGAGTGGAGATGTTGCGTTTAAGGAACCACTTCACTCCACTTTATGAGTGGCTGACAAAGAAGATTTTTATATGGGATTGCTCAGGTGGTTATCCCTATGCAAAATATATCTGTGCATAATTTTCTATGTTTAACTTGATTCATATCTATGTGGATAAACTTCATTGTTGTCTAAGTCATTTAAAACAAACCTTCCTTAATACCTTAAAAAACAATGTAAACATGCCATCTCTAAAAATATAAGGAATCTAAGAAATTACATACAATTTAATCAAGAACACTAACCTGAATCTTATGTGAAATTTAAGTAAGTACATTGTTTTATAACTGTATATTTTATGCTATATATATGAATGACATAAAATTTAAGAAAGAATATGTCTATGTGTCTATGTCCCCCTGAGACCCACCAATTCATATTTGTCCTCCGTATGGGACATGATGTTTAGAACTCTAATGCAAACTTGATTGCAATCCATGGTACACAACTTTGTGGGGTTTAAGCTAACAGAGCACATGCATTGTGATTTCAAAATGGTGGAAAGTACTGCATCCACGTTATTTGGCAGTAAGGGAGGTAAGTGATCAGTTATTTAAAGAAAACACACAGCTGTTGCAAATAATTAGGTTTCAGATTTAATTTAAAATCTATAGTTTGAGTTGGTAAAATTTCAGAAATATGTGATTTATTTAAACAAGCTAAATCTTAGCTTGTCAAAATAAAAGTTTTATCTAATGTCATTTGTAGGGGACAGCTACAGTAGTGATTATTTTTCTTCAGAAGACTGAGACATAAAACTTTTTTAATTTTGGTAGGGGGTTCAAACATACAGATAAAAAGAAAGGCCGATTAGTATAGTAGAAAGGTGAAACCAGATGGAACAATAAAACAGCTTTTAAGGAGCAAAACTCCAGGAACAAAGTAGGGCGTATCACCAGCAAATAATAAATGGAAAGGAATGTATAAGCTGTATATTTCATATATTATGTAATTGTTGACCTTATGTTTACTGTACATAATAATTCTATCATTTCTTTTACTTTGTCATTAGTAATTCTTGTGCAATTCAAAAGTTTTCTTGAAAATGTATGGAAACATAGAATTTATAGATGGGCAGCATGCCGCAGTCCCGATTATATTTCAGAACAGTTCTCAAACAAAAGCTGGATTACATCTTTAAAGCTTGATGTATTTCTAATACTTTGAGCTTCATTTTTATTCTTTTAAGTTAAAAAAAATCCTATATTTAAGCACAGGGCCCCCACCTTGCCATCTGAATCTCCCTGGAGCACCATTCACTCTGCAGGTAGTTGTGACTGATAACACAGATGGTCTTCCTGCTGCTATAAATGGCATCAGTGATGTTCTCAATGATGGGTTTACCTGTGAAACCAAAATATATTTTTTAAAGGGTTGTTTACTTAATACAAAGAAGCATACAGAATTAGTGTAGATGCTTATATTGCTTTTATATAATTTATTCTTTACATAGAATAAGAAAAATGAAAACCCTGTCACAAAAAATACAGAAATGGAAGGACTTTTTTTTCAAACAATAATAATCCATTCAAACATCACTATTAAACGTTTGCTATTTGCTATATAAAACTCCTTGCCTTTCACTATTAAACTGACTGCAGTAATAATGGAGGGCAGAAACGGCTCCCACTAGTGACCTTTGAATCTAAATAGTTATTCAAGAAAGAAGTTTTTAGGTTTTTTATATTTCCTGAAATGCAAATGCAAAGAATTCTGTAGATTTGTCAACCAAAAACAGTCTTCTATTGCAACAAATGCATTTCAGACTTTAACTCTTCCTTCACCTTTAATATTATCAGTGGTGGAAGAAGCACTAAACAGTAATACGTGAGTGGAAGTATTGATACTCATAGTCAAACCTTACTCAACTACAGGTAAAAGTTACTTGTTCAAACATCTACTCAAGTTAAAGTATTGAACCACTCACTTTTGAAAATACTTAAGGATTCAAAATTACAAATCGCATTTTCTATTATCAGTACATTTCTAATTTTCAGAGTAGTTTTAAAGAACCTCGTAACTTTTAGAAACCACCTGATGTATTGATGCATAGAACCATCTGCTACATATTCTACACCACCTGTAAAGAACTTCAGCATTAAAATACAGAAAAAAAGACAGCTATTTTGATTATTATTTTTGGAATAGAAGTGTAAGTTTGAATCTATTACCACAAAGAAACTCCAACTTTTCTTTGAGAACTCATCCTACTGAACAACTTGGCCATATGGCAACAACTAATGCCTTCAAATGTATAAACAACAAATAATATCTTCCCTGAGTTTCTCACATTTGTGGAACGTCATGCAAATCTCTAACAGTGGTGTCCAAATCCAGTCCTAGGGACTGCTATCTGCTATGTTGAAATTGCATTTCAAGAAAGAAAAAACCACAATAGTGGATTACAAAGCTAAGCTGAGGCAAAACGAATGAGAAACTGGCAGTTTCCTGAAAATAGTGGATTAGAAAGTAAAATAAAAAAACTCCAGTGAAGTAAAGATACACAAAAAAAGCACTTAAGTATAGTAATCAAGTAAATGTACTTTGCTACTTTCCACCACTGAATATTATCAAGTTTACTTATAAAGGTTTGACGATGCAGTGATAGCTTTGGATCATGAAGCCATAGTTTACCTGGTTGAAAGTCTCTGTGGTGCAGACAGAGTCTCCAGCCTTGCTCTCCCTCCAACACTGGAAGCATCTCTTTGTAAACCCAGTTCTCATCATGGACGTTATAGGATACAAATGCATCAAACCGACGCGGGACCCCTTTTTTTCCCCTTCTGCTGTCATAGAGATAGGCCAGGAAGAGATGGAAGGTGTAGGTAAGATGCCATCTCAGGAAGTTATAGATAAAGCACGTAAGAAGAGTAAGAACAACGAGACAAGAGCTAGAAATGAAACAGAAAAAGCTACCATCGTCCCTACATGAGTGGATATCAAATTCTAATAACAAACTTCCTTGTTTGTCTGAGGGAAAGGAACATTTATAACGATGAGCGTTTACTACCTGTGTTTGCTTGTTGTTCTTTACCCATTGGATAAAACCTGCATTTGAGCAGTCACAGGTGAATGGGTTTTTATCTAGATCCAAGTATGTTAGAGAGGGAAAATCCTTGAAAACTGTCTCGTTGATCCATGAAAGCTTGTTTTCAGTGAGTTTCAAATATTTAAGTGCTGATAGATTGGCCTGCATCAGAAAATCCAAAGAACTTATGTTGGAAGCGGAAAGATCAAGACTCTGCAGATTTGGAATTGGCAGAAAAAGTTCTGCATCCAAGTCTGAAAGATCTCCCTCTGTGAATGCTACACTCTTCAGATGGGGATTAAAATTAAATATGTCTGTACCTGAAACTTGAGAAGTACATTTTACAGCTGTAAAATTCTCCAAATATCTCATAGTCCAGAGTACTTCTTTCATGTCCAATGCTGAAAAAAAAACGTTGCAGATCATTGTGAGACTTTTCATAGATTCTAAGTAAATTATATCTCTTGAAGAAGTCGATTGAAGTCTGTTCAAAGATTCGTGGGGATTTAACCTTATTGTTAATTTTTCCAGGTGCTTGAGTTCAAATATGTCATGAGATATAGTAATATTCTCCACGTTATTTAATTTATCAAATTCTTTTTGTGTCAGCATCTCCCAAAAACATGTCGCTACATCAAGCTCTTTAAGGGACTGTAAATGAATAAAATCATACATCTTTAGAAATCCAATCTCATTGCGGTTTATCTTCAAGACTTCAAGATTAGGAAGAACTAGATCATTTTCAAATTTTGTCAGCAAATTAAAACTCAAATCTAAAATCTTTAGATTTTCCAGATTTTCCAATGCACACCCAACCACATAGCTAATGCGATTATTTTTCAGGTAAAGTTCTGTTAACAGACTCGTGTTCCAAAAATCATAACAGGTCAAATCTAGTATATAATTGTAATTTAGATTTAAGATCTTAAGGAAACTTAGATTTTTTATATCATCTGGAACTTTGATGAGCTGATTGCCACTCATGTTTAAAGATTGGAGCTGCTTCATTGATTGTAATGAACCCTGTGGCAGTTCACCTATGTCACTCTTTCTCATGTCAAGCTCGGTGAGCTGAGAGCAGAGTGATATTTGAACAGCCAAATTGTTAATATTGCTGTTAAACAAATCCAGCTTCCTCAGTGTTGGTATTTTGCAGACTGTAAATAATAGTCCTTCGTAAACCCGCATCTTCAGGGCATTTAGTCTCAGATGCCTTAACGAGTCAAGACTCTCCAAAATTTTTGTGATCCCTTCATCTGAAAGAATTGGCCTCTCAAGATATAAATGTGATATGTTCTTCAACAACTCTTTTTCAGGGATATCCCATTGGAGGTCTTTATAATATAAACACATAGTGAACTCGACCCTATGGAGATAAGGAAAAATTGGTTTAGTGAGGCTGAAAACCTTCAGGTAATCACCAGAAATATCCAATTCTTTGAGATTTGAGGGAAGACCAAGCTGCAGGTCCCTGGTATTGAAAGAAGAAAACCCACTGCATTTTAGTCCAAGAGTTCGGATTCGTGGTAACTGTAGGACTGGCTGAATATCAGTGATTTGTTGAAGCCTATTGTTTCCCATATCTAGGGTCTCTAAGTTAATAAGGGATTGGAAAGCTCTTGAATCAATAAACTGTATGCCATTATTGTTGAGAAGAAGCACAGTAAGGTTGAACAAACCCTGAAACATGTTGTTTATCAGATAATTAAGTTTGTTATTTCCCATGCGTAGAGTTTTAAGAAAAATTAAATCGATAAATGACCCTTGGTCCACATCTGTAATTTGATTTACTGTTAGATCCAGAGTTCTAAGCTTTGACATGCCAAGGAAATCGTCTTTGTTAATTTTTTGAACCCAGTTGTTGTTCAGTTTTAATGACACAACATCTTTAGGGATGTCTTTTGGGACTGTCTCGATTTTCCTCTTTGCGCAGTCCAGACAAATATCAGCGGAGGGATTCTCCTGATAAAGTACAGTGCAGTTTTTCAGAACATAAGGTAGCGAAGAGTTAAAGCAAGACAAAAGAAGGAGAAGAAGCAGAAAGATGTGTGAAGAGTCTGAGTTGGCCATGCTTAGTTTGATGTGGTTGATTGTCATTCAAGGATGATTACCTGCAAGCAACATTTAAAACATATAATATAAAAAATTGTAGCTTTATTAGATGTGGTCAAAAATACATATGATCAACTGATATATTCAAAAAGCTGATAGTGAGTTCAAATTAATCTTTCATCAGTATAGACAAAATAAAAATAAAAAAAGCTTGAAAACTACAGCAAACTGATAAAACTTAAGCAATTCATAAACTACATACACTGGTGCATAATTTCACAATTTTAATATTCCATATTTACATGACGGGTAAGACAAACATGTAGAGGAAATACAAAAATAAACATATATATATATATACAGGTGCTGGTCATAAAATTAGAATATCATGAAAAAGTAGATTGATTTCAGTAATTCCATTTAAAAAGTGAAACTTGTATATTATATTCATACATTACATACAAACTCATATATTTCAGATGTTTATTTTGTTTAATTTTGATGATTACAAATGACAACAAATGAAAATCTCAAATTCATCATATCAGAAAATTAGAATATTACTGAAGACCAATAAAAACAAAGGATTTATAGAAATGTTGGCCAACTGAAAAGTATGAACATGAAAAGTATGAGCATGTACAGCACTCAGTATTTAGTTGGGCCTCCTTTGGCCTGTATTACTGCAGCAATGCGGCGTGGCATGGAGTCGATCAGTCTGTGGCACTGCTCAGGTGTTATGATAGCCCAGGTTGCTCTAATAGTGGCTTTTAGCTCTTCTGAATTGTTGGGTCTGGTGTATTGCATCTTCTTCTTCACAATACCCCATAGATTTTCTATGGGGTTAAGGTCAGGAGAGTTTGCTGGCCAATTAAGAACAGGGATACCATGGTCCTTCAAACAGGTACTGGTAGCTTTGGCACTGTGTGCAGGTGCCAAGTCCTGTTGGAAAATGAAATCTGCATCTCCAAAAAGTTGGTCAGCTGCAGGAAGCATGAAGTGCTCTAAAACTTCCTGGTATGTGGCTGCGTTGACCCTGGACCTCAGAAAACACAATGGACCAACACCAGCAGATGACATGGCACCCCAAACCATCACTGACTGTGGAAACTTTACACTGGACTTCAAGCAACGTGGATGAAGTGCCTCTCTTCTTTTCCTCCAGACTCTGGGACCTTGATTTCCATTGGAAATGCAAAATTTACTTTCATCAGAGAACATGACTTTGGACCACTCACCAGCAGTCCAGTCCTGTTTCTCTTTAGACGCTTCTGACGCTGTCTGTGGTTCAAGAGTGGCTTGACACAAGGAATGCGACAGCAGAAACCCATGTCTTTCATACGTCTGTGTGTGGTGGTTCTTGAAGCACTCACTCCAGCTGCAGTCCACTCTTTGTGAATCTCCCCCACATTTTTGAATGGGTTTTGTTTCACAATCCTCTCCAGGGTGCGGTTATCTCTCTTGCTTGTACACTTTTTTCGACCACATCTTTTCCTTCCCTTCGCCTCTCTATTAATGTGCTTGGACACTGAGCTCTGTGAACAGCCAGCCTCTTTAGCGATGACCTTTTGTGTCTTGCCCTCCTTGTGCAAGGTGTCGATGGTCGTCTTTTGGACAACTGTCAAGTCAGCAGTCTTCCCCATGATTGTGTAGCCTATAGAACTAGACTGAAAGACCATTTAAAGGCTTTTGCAGGTGGTTTGAGTTAATTAGCTGATTAGAGTGTGGCACCAGGGGCCATCAATTTTGAACCTTTTCACAATATTCTAATTTTCTGATATGATGAATTTGAGATTTTCATTTGTTGTCATTTGTAATCATCAAAATTAAACAAAATAAACATCTGAAATATATGAGTTTGTATGTAATGTATGAATATAATATACAAGTTTCACTTTTTAAATGGAATTACTGAAATCAATCTACTTTTTCATGATATTCTAATTTTATGACCAGCACCTGTATATATATATACACTATATTGCCAAAAGTATTTGCTCACCTGCCTTGACTCACATATGAGCTTAAGTGACATCCCGTTCCTAATCCATAGGGTTCAATATGACGTCGGTCCACCCTTTGCAGCTAGAACAGCTTCAACTCTTCTGGGAAGGCTGTCCACAAGGTTTAGGAGTGTGTTTATGGGAATTTTTGACCATTCTTCCAGAAGCGCATTTGTGAGGTCGCACACTGATGTTGGACGAGAAGGCCTGGCTCTCAGTCTCCGCTCTAATTCATCCCAAAGGTGTTCTATCGGGTTGAGGTCAGGACTCTGTGCAGGCCAGTCAAGTTCATCCACACCAGACTCTGTCATCCATGTCTTTATGGACCTTGCTTTGTGCACTGGTGCACAGTCATGTTGGAAGAGGAAGGGGCCAGCTCCAAACTGTTCCCACAAAGTTGGGAGCATGGAATTGTCCAAAATGTCTTGGTATGCTGAAGCATTCAGAGTTCCTTTCACTGGAACTAAGGGGCCAAGCCCAGCTCCTGAAAAACAACCCCACACCATAATCCCCCCTCCACCAAACTTTACACTTGGCACAATGCAGTCAGACAAGTACCGTTCTCCTGGCAACTGCCAAACCCAGACCCGTCCATCAGATTGCCAGATGGAGAAGCGCGATTCGTCACTCCAGAGAACGCGTCTCCACTGCTCTAGAGTCCAGTGGCGGCGTGCTTTACACCACCGCATCCGACGCTTTGCATTGCACTTGGTGATGTATGGCTTGGATGCAGCTGCTCGACCATGGAAACCCATTCCATGAAGCTCTCTGCGCACTGTTCTTGAGCTAATCTGAAGGCCACATGAAGTTTGGAGGTCTGTAGTGATTGACTCTGCAGAAAGTTGGCGACCTCTTCGCACTATGCGCGTCAGCATCCGCTGACCCCGCTCCGTCAGTTTACGTGGCCTACCACTTCGTGGCTGAGTTGCTGTCGTTCCCAAACACTTCCATTTTCTTATAATACAGCTGACAGTTGACTGTGGAATATTTAGGAGCGAGGAAATTTCACGACTGGATTTGTTGCACAGGTGGCATCCTATCACAGTTCCACGCTGGAATTCACTGAGCTCCTGAGAGCGACCCATTCTTTCACAAATGTTTGTAAAAACAGTCTGCATGCCTAGGTGCTTGAATTTATACACCTGTGGCCATGGAAGTGATTGGAACACCTGATTCCAATAATTTGGATGGGTGAGCAAATACTTTTGGCAATATAGTGTATATATATATATATATATATATATATATATATATATATATATATATATATATATATATATATATATATAACTCGCACATAAAAAAGGATATAAGATATGGATGAATGGATGTAAATAGACATTAGATACTTTATTATAATCAACGGCTAAGTTAGTCGTTGACAAGAAAAATTGTGGTTTACCAGCACAGCAGCCTGTTTGTTGAGCTTTTACTTGTTATTAGAAATAGCAATCACTCATCTTTTCCTGATTTAAATCATCAGCATCTCACCCAGTCATCTGGAATACTTTTTTACTATCACTTTAAAAAATATTTTTTCATACACTGTCACAACTACTTTTAAAGTTCTTGACTTTGGGTCATTTACAGTTTTGGCTAGTCTGTTTTAAAAGTTAACAAACTCATCTGAAAAAACTTGATTTCAATTTAATATTTAAATAAAGCAATTGTTATTAGTAAACAAGGATAGATATTTCTGCTACTTACAGTTTAGAACCATGTTGCATCTCAACTGAGGCCTTAGCAGATGTCGAGCAAAGTTCTTTTTGACTGTGTTTCACAGGAGGTGGATTCTTTTAGCACATAAACAGGAAGCTGCATGTTGCACTGTATGCTCTCTGTTGTGTTAAACCTCTTGTCTGCCACATAAGCCAAATAAGAATATATAGAACCACTGTGTAAAATATATTTAGGTTTAATCAATGCTAAGTTTTATTTAAAATATTTTAATAACAAAATAAAGAGATAAACAGAGTTGTTGTGTTTAACTCAGCAGGGCCTAAGACTGGCTTGGAATGTGTCTAAATATTCAGGTTCTAACTGCTTTGTTTATATTTATTTTACAGTTAAATTGAATAAATGAAAGTGAATTGAAATATGATGGTTTTATATCTTACATCTTTCAACTTTTACTATAGGCTTAAAATCTAACTTCAAGGTTCCTTATTTTTCTATGTTGTCTTTTTTTCACCATGTTTTTTTTTTTTAAGAAGTGAAACCAAACTTCAGTCTTTTACTTCTTGTTCTGTTTTCTGTCTGACAACTTGGCATAAGAAATGTCTTAGAGACAGAAAAAGTGCATCACCAGTGGAGCATTATCGCCATAGTGCTCTGCTTGATTTATATATGCAAATAGTTTTATCATGGTTTTTGTAGGGAATAATTCATGTTACTTGGACATTACAAAAAAGGGAAAAGAGGTAAAATAAAGAAAATAACAAAAGAAAGATATTGACAAAACTTCATCTGTTTGCTTCATTACCTGCAAAGACAAATGTAAAAAGAAAAACACGACCAACAGATATAGAAATACAGATACAATAGAGCAACATACAGTATTAATCAATATGGAATGCATAAAGTGGTTGCTGAAGATAGAAGTTGCAAGTACTGTATGTAAGTGACCAGATCCAAGCAACTGTTGGTGTTTGTGAGAGTGCAGTTGTGTGTCTAAGGTTTATTCATGGGGAAAAATGCTCAGTGAAGAGCCAAAGACCCGCCTCCCCAGGAGCCGCATGGACGAGCCCATGGGCTCCACCTGGCAGCCAGTCACGCCGAGGTGGGACTATCCATGGGACCCAAGGGCCCTACTGCATGTGAAACAAAGACCACGCCCCAGGGGGCCAGGCCCCACAAAGTAGCCACCAGGAGCAGGCCGGCACCAACCTGGGTCCCTGCCCCAAGACACTGAGTACCACCAATGCACCTGCGGGCCAAGGCGCCAGCCAGTGGAGGTGGTCGGGGCAGGGTGGTGGGTGTACTACGCACAAATATTAGCAGATGCTGTACACACATTTGCATGCCTCACACACATCCCATATTCCCAGGTCCCAAGTCACCCCAAAGGACCAGGCAACCGGACCTGATACTTGAAAACTAAATGCGAAATGAGGAGTGGGGGGAATTCAACCAAGCCTTCCCGGTTCTTGCTCTGGTCGCATCCAGAACAGACAGGCCCTTCAAGGGCGGTGCCAACATGATCCAGACAGGCCAGTCAGCCAAAGCTCCCCCACCGCCAAACAACCCCCCACCCCACTCTTTCTAAGATGTCAGGATTATTGCAGATGGGTGTACAGCTGCATGGAATAAGGGAGTACGTCATTTAAAAAAATAACAGGATTACCAAATAATACATTTGTGCAGAAGAAACTCTTTTTTGCAATTTTTTTTCTTTATATACTTCATAAACGATCTTTACATTGGGTAATGCATGCAGTATATGTTAAGAAATGATAAGACATTACAGCGTAAACACCTACTGTTAGCTGCATTTTCAACTAGTCTCTAAATGGCTTAAGTTACTGTGGATTAAGAATGTTGAGGTATGTCTGTTTTCAGTCTCAGGCTCCAAATGAAGGCCAGGAGAGCTACTGTAAGGATAAAGTGGTTGTAGCTGCCTTAGCCTCCCCCATGCCGTAAACGGAAGACAGCTGTTGTACATGTTTTATCTGGCTAGTGAAAGTCCTTGGTGGGGTGGGAAGGTTCCCTGGAGTGTGTATTTGGAGTTTTTGTATATATTTAAGAGTAAAAAGGCACCTGAGTAAAAGCTTTTTCTCTCCGACTGGAGATGTAAAAATAAAGTTATTAAGATTTCTGCAACTCCACCTTACTAATTGTGGGTGGCATAGCCAGAAAACATATTCAAGAGTAGACATCCATCCTAGTTAACCTGGAAAAGAACAACTTTCAACAGAGGAGGTGGTCTTAGAATTAACCTTTTATCTACCTACTGTACAAAGCACCTTTAGGAACAATACCCAGAAGATTCACCTCTCACCTGCACTCACCTGACCCGCACTTCAATGATGCATGTGGCCGAAAGGACTCTGACGAGGGAGTTAATGACAGATCAAAAGAACCCTTACGACCTTTAACACCCCCAATGTGACTTCCTCAGACAATCCAGTGGAGGGAATCAAAGCCACCATTTCCCCCCCCCCCTAATTCTTTTGTTACACCTACAGTATATTAATCTCAGTGCTCCCTACCACTATTTAGAACTGAAGAAGCCTCTTCTATGAGAGGCGAAACGCCTTTTAGAAAACCTCACATCCAGTTCCCTAAACTGAACTTTTCAAGCTCGACCATGACCTGGATGACTGAGAATCTTCACAGAGATTTAAGTAAAGGTAAAAAGTACCACCTCTCCCTAAAGTGCATTGTTTTCTTAAAGTCACTCAAGAAAATGTAGCTATAATTATACCCACTTCTGGTTACTGGTAAACTCACACCTCAAAATATGTGAAATCTTAAGTTTTTTTTTTGAGTCTATCTTGTTCCTTTTACACTTCTGAGTATCTGAGGAACTAAGTCACAGAGCAACAGAATTTATTTTAGTTGTTTGTTTTCATTTCCGCTTACAGATTTTTTCCATAGCTTGAATGTATTAATAAATAACCGATTTTAAAGACTTTATTTTAAAAAATATCTATACATCTACATATTTTATTTAGACAATAAGAAAAAAGGTTGCATGTTTGGAGTCTATGCAATATGTTCATAAAAAAAACTACAAACATAAAAAAACTGACACCAAGCAAAAAAACAGCCAAATTGTTGCAGCAACATAGAGGTACTAGTTATAGAAAAAAATTACATAAATGATGTAAATGCAAAATTAAGAAGCTTAAATTTAAAATGATCTAATCCCTCATTTTAAAGAGTAAGGATATAAATACATCCATCAAATAAAAATGCCTTTAAATCCCTCAAAAGATTGAACCTGTTACAAAAGTTACTGCTACAGCATGCAACAGGAAGCAACACAAACTAAAATATGCATTGATGTGATCCTTCAATAAACACTTACTCCACATTTACATTGTTAACAGGATTATAAATGACTTTCTAGTTACACTAGCAGCCATTCAAAGTGGCCCCTTCCAGTCAAACGCCAGCCGAATGTCAGCCCACTTCCCTGCAAGTCACAGCAAAATCCCCTCCAATTTCCTGCCACTGGAGTGACCCCCTCCTTCTCCTCAGCGTGCATTTTTTTATTGACCCTGACTCCACCATTTCACTGAATTACAGAGTCTGACCAGGAGAAGGCGCTTCTCTTTAGATCTTAATGTACACAAAACATGACAGAAAGAATATTTTAGTACAAAAATGGATGTTTAAAAAGGAAATGTAGGGGACCAGTCAGGAAATCTTGAATGGCTGCTAATATATGATGAGTTGATATGAAACAGAAGTCATGACTATCTTTGCTAGATTCAAATAGATTTAAGGATGTTTAAAAAAAAACATTAAGGGTAACTGATTAATATACACTCATTTTTATCTCTGGATTATTAAGTAATCTTAAATCATTTGCACGTTATTCAATATGTTGTTTGTCCGGTAAGGAGGTCAGTGTTCTCAGTGAGAGCTTCTCCTGTCTGCAGAGCTCTCTTGACATTCTGCCAAAAGAGTCGTGGGTGTTGCGCAGCCTGAGGCCAGCTGAGGTATGTGCGTTTCTTCACCAGGTTCCTCATGCCGTAGAGTGCAGACAAATGATAAGTAGGGATCTCCTCCAAAAACAGCAGGATCAGCACACCCTTCTGCTCGTCAAACAGACGGAAGCTAAAGAAAGTCATGTAAAAGAGGAGGAGGAGGTATTTGTTAATATGTCTTTTCAGAGGTGAACAAGGGCTGGTCATGAGTCTAATTAGCATATCTAGTTATGATTTTTTTTAATGTTTACCATATTCAACTAAGAGATTTTTTATGTTTTTTAATAAAACTCCTGTTAAGAGCTCAAAATATTTTTTCATCATACTGATTACAGAGCTAGTACAATTTATTAATTACACTGAATGACAGCAGCCTTACCTGGCCATCTGTATCTCTCTTGAGCACCATTCACTCAGCAGGTAGTGTCGGCTGATAACACAGATAGTTTTCCTGCTTTCGTAAATGGCATCAGTAATGTTCTCGATGATGGGTTTACCTGTACAGACAAAAATGTTATCTATTAGTTGTTACTTTATTAGAATTTTAATAGCTTTTAGGTAAATAAACAAAAAAATATTTCAAAACTTAATGATAAAACGGTTGCCTTTGTTTGTCTGCATTTCAGCCAGTGTTTAGTTGTTCATTCCTTGAGCCATTTACAAATTGTTTTCCATCTTTCAATTTGCTAAATTCTTGCAACCTATTAACCTGACTCCGCCAGATGGATTTGCTCCGCATATCCAGATGGAAACCTTCCGTTGAAGTAATTTTGGGAAGGGGCGAAAATACTGGTTTGCTGATTGGCCTATGTTGGTGATAGACAGGCCAAATAAACCAATCAGATCAACGAAGCATATGACGTACTAACAGAGCGACGACGAAAACACAACCACAAGATCAAACTCTTGCAGAAACCAGTTGGGAGAAGAGCAAAAACATCTTTTCCTCTGAGAAAAGCCTCCAGAGCAGTGTTTTGCTCTTCTTTCAGTGAAGAAATACTCTGTAATTCCGATAAAACTTGCTCGATAGCCATGCTAATGCTAGTTTCATCGGCTGAAGCCACCATGTTCTTTAGACTGAACTGTCGCGCTTCTCGTTGCGTCCCACCTCAACCCGCCTCAAAGCCAACGCTGATTGGACGTTCGTTTGGTGAACGGCTCTGAATTTTCTTTAACGGAAAGTAGCCAGACTGATCTGCGAGTGAAACCTTGAAAGCTCGCGAGATCAGGATTGTCTCACGAGGCTAGCAACCTATAGCACTCAATAATAAACAAAGAGATGAACATACAGTAGTCTACCTGGTTGGAAATCTCTGTGGTGCAGACAAAGTCTCCAGCCCTGCTCTCCCTCCAACTCTGGTAGCAATTCTCTGTAAACCCAGTCCTCATCGTGGACATTGTAGGACACAAAGGCATCAAAGCGATGAGGATCTTCCTTCTTCCGCATTTTGCTGTCATAGAGGAGAGCCAGAAACAGGTGGAATGTGTAGGAGATATGCCATCTCAGAAATTTATAGAATAGGGATGCAAAGAGAGTAAAAACAACCAGAAAAGTGGTGGATATAAAGTAGGGAAAGCCAATATCTTGCCGACAGGACTGAATGTCAAAACCTAGTAACAAGCTTTCTTGTTTGTCCACAGGAGAGAAACATTTATATTGATGAGCTTTTACCACTTGTGTTTGTGGGTTGGTCAGTACCCAGTGGATGAAGCCTGCGTTAGAGCACTCACATAAGAATGGGTTGTTGTCCAGATCCAACAATCTCAGAGAGGGTAGAGACTGGAAGACCGTCTCGCTAATAACAGTGATCTCATTGTCAGTTAGTTTTAGAGATCTGAGTGCAGAAAGATTTGCCTGGACCAGAAAATCCAAAGACCTGAGTTTAGATTTTGAAAGATCGAAATTTTGCAGGTTTGGGAGAGTTAATAATAAAGTAGAATTGAAATATAACAAATCCATTGATGATAATGTCAAACTTTTTAGCTGGAGGTTTGGTTCAAATGTTTCAACATCTAAGTCGTTAATATAGATATTAAAAACTGAAAATGTCTCTACATTTTCATAAGCCTTGAGCATTTCCTTAATTACGTGAAAGGGCATCAATTCATAATTGCTGCTTCCGATTAGTGTTAGATGCTTCTGTGTCTTAATTTTTGCAGAGGCTTTATCATTGTTTGACTGGAGACTTTTTAAATAAGTGTTTGTGTTTAAGTAAACTACAAGATTTTCTAAGCTCACTAAACCACTAAAATAAGGTACATTTACAAACAGATAGGTTTCCACCTTCAGATCTTTCAGGAATTTTAAGTGTTGAAATTCATCTGTGTCCAGATATTTTATGGGGTTGTGGCTTATGTCCAAGGCCTCAAGCTTATGGAGGGAAACTTTAAATGTATCTTCAAATGTCTTCAGCTGATTGTTACTCAAATCTAAAACTTTCAGATTGTCAAGATTTTTAGTTACACATTTTTCCAGTTTGCTTATGCGGTTATTGTTCAGGTAAAGCTCTTTCAGATGTGTGTTGTTCAGAAAATCATCACAGCTGAGTCCAGCGATATCATTGTAACACAATTTTAAGATTTCAAGGGAGGAGAGGCACCTTATGTCATGAGGAACTTTGGTGAGCTTATTATAAGCCAGATTTAGGGATTGCAGTTGCTTCATTGATTGCATTGAACCTTTTGAGAGTTCATGCATATAATTGTCTTCCAGGTCAAGCTCTCTGAGCTGAGAGCATGATGCCAATCCAATAGTAAAATTATCAACATGGGTTCCAGTGATGCTAAGCTTTTTGAGTGTTGGTGTTTTACAGACTGAACTAGGTAATATCCCGTCTTTAATCCAATCATCCACAGTGTCAAAGACCAGATGATCCAGTCTTGCAATATTTTCTAAAACTGTTTGGATTCCTTTTAGGGATATTGCTTCGCTCTCAGCATACAACTTTGTTATGTTTTTCAGCAGTCTATTATCAGTTAAGTCCCATTTTCCTTGTGAAATGGGTAATGACAATTCTATGGTCTGGAGGTGTGGGCAAATTGTAGCTGTGATGCTTAACAGTTTCAGGGCAGAACCAGAAACCTCCAATTCTTTAAGACATGAGGAGAAATTTTGATTGAAATATTTGGTGTTTTTAGTAATAGTATTGAATTTTAGATTAAGCGTAAGTAACTGTGGCAGGCGTAAGATTGGCAGAATTTCTACAATTTCCTGAAGTCTGTTGTGAATAATATCAAGAGATTGTAAGCTGGTCAGACCCTGGAAGGCATACTTATGAATGTATTGGATCTTGTTGAAACTGAGGACCAGCACTCTAAGGTTGGAGAGCCCATTAAACATGTTGTTTGTCAGGTTGGTTAGTCTGTTTCTTGCCATATGTAGTGTATCTAATAAACCTAAATTGATAAAAGACCCTTGGTCAACATATGTTATTTCATTCATTGTTAAATTCAGATAACTCAGCTTTTTCATGTCATTAAAGTCATTTCGGGTAATACTTATTAACAGGTTTTCTCCTAGTTGTAATGACGTAACATTTTTAGGGATGTAATCAGGGATAGTAACAAATTTCATTTTTGCACAGTCCAAAGAAAGATCGGGAGAGGTGTTCTCCTGATAAAGTATAGTGCAATTTTTCAGTGAAAAAGCCTGAGAGGGAGAAACAGGAAGCAAGAAGTATAAAAGATAAAGTAGAGCCGAAGTAGTTATAGAGGCCATTTTTGTTAGGAAGAGAAGATCACCACCTGCAAAAGACATGCACAAAAAATTGTAAAAAAAAATGTGCTTTTGCTTTTAGCTTATGATTAATTATCAGATAAAATGAACTTTCAGATTATAAGAGATGCAGGTCATTGTGCTGCTAGTTTGTTGTTAAGAAAATATGGCAGAAAGGCCACTAGACAATGTGTTGTCAGATTATTAATGTTGCTGTCTTTACCATCAGTGATATTTTTAATGTTTTTGTTAACATAATGTTTAAGTAAGTCAATGGAAGTGCAGTTAAATTACTTCAGTTACAGACAGTATATAAGCTACAAATAGAGTATTTCATACACCTGACAGGTATGGGTTATCTCCTATTGACATCATGGGAGAAGAAGTGGAGGTGGTGGAGGAGTATAAATACATTGGTACCAAGGCTGGCGCACCTCAGACTGGAAGAAAGTGGGGAGAGTAGTAAGAACAGCAAAGATCATCGGGGCTCCTCTTCCCTCCAAAAAAGGCATTTCATTCCAGTGCTGCATGTCCCGAGCCCGTAACATCATAAATGACCCCTCACACCACCACCATGGACTGTTCTCCCTGCTGCCCTCGGGGAAGAGACTTCAAAGCATCCGATGCAGGTCCAGCAGATTCCACAACAATTTCTTGCCCACTGCCATTAGATTGCTGAATGTTTTGTAAAATGGGTTATCGTATTGTATTTATTGTATTTTATCATGATATAAAATAAAATGAATATGTTAGAACTGGAAATTCATAAGTCATATGTTTATATTACTGATTTTAGATATATTTTTACTATTTTTCAGGGCTGCACTTTTAAAAAAGATGAAATTGTCCAGAGAGCTGTTCCAAATGAAATTTCTTTTTGTTTTACACTTATGTAAACCAAATGACAAATAAATCTAAATAAGTCTAAGGAAAGAGTGGAATCCAGCCGCATGATTTTCCACAGCACGAGGCGGACACCGCCAGAGACTTCCAGGAGTCAAAGTCAAGAGGGCTGCAGGTCCAGATGAGCAGAAGCCAGCGGAAGAGGAAGAACAGTAGTTTCCAGATGGAGAGGGCCAAAACCGATTTCGATGAGGTAGCAGAAGTCCAGGCAAGAAGATCAGAGATCAGATGATGTACCGTAGGGATATCCAACCCGGGGTCAGGAGACAGATCTAAGGTCGTAAGCAGGCAGAATCCAGCAGCAGTCTGAAGGGAGGTCAGGCAAACAGATCAGAACAGGGGCAGGCAAGCTCAGAGGTCCCGGGAGCAGACATTGGTCAGGACTCAAAAATGGAGTAAGAAACTGGGTAAACTAGAAAACTTTCACCTACGCGTCAAATTATCTGGCACTGATGGCTGAGACCAAACGGTTTAATTTGAAGCTGTATCAGGTGAATCTAATGAAAGGAGAGGAAGAAATAGCGGAGCTACGCAGGTGGATAGAATGAACCAAAAGTCAAGTCATCAGTGTCAAGATCATGACAGGATGCATTTCCTACAACGCAAATGGTGAATGGCTCACATTGGGCAATAGTGCAAAATGGGAATGGGAATAGAGCAAAGAAAAAATTCTCAGCTGTAAAAACATTTTGAACTCTTCTGTTCACTTACATTGCCTGAACCATTCAGGGACTAGGTGTGAATGTGAGGCAGGGTAAATGAGCGCAGCAGAGTTTTTTATTCACAATCTTCTCAGAAGTTAAATCAGTTCCCCTACTGCAGCACTTTTGAAAGAGGCTTCTGATACACTGTCTTGGACAGATGGAAGTACTGCTGAAGGCAATCATCCAGCCACAGCTCCTAAAGCAGGTGGTGATAGTCGCCTAATTGGGAGCAGATTTGTTGGGCTCAGGAATGCTGGCACTAATAAAATTGTTTGGCTCTCCATCTCAATGTAATTTATAGTGCAGTGCAGCTCAGGTCCTGCAAGGTCAGTTGAGCAGGCTACAGGAATTAAAAATGGCACTGCATGAAAAGTGGGATTTTCGTCAATATGCGGCACTGTAGATTGTCGTGGAACTTCAGGTTAGCGGCAGTTTACGACAATTTGCAGGCTTCGCCGAAAACTCCCGTAAATTGTCAGAAATTGACGTGGACTCTCTTAGGCAGTGTTCCCCCTTCCCCCCTGGTTCTAGGGGGTTTAAAACAAAATCTGTTGGAGCTTCAATCCTTTGGGTTGGGGGGTTTTTTTACTGGTAGTAAAAAGTGGGTGTATACCCCTTTTTTTTACGAATTATTTTTTTTAAAATTCCAAAAAATTTTATGCGAGCTTTTTTAGAGCGTTTTAAAAAAAAAAAGCATTTTTAAAATTTTGTTGTAAATCCCAAATTAAATTTTTAAAAAGGGAAAATTTTAAAAAATAGTCTGAGGTTTTAAAAAAAGGGTTTTTTGGAATGCCTGGAAGTTGGTCATTGGGGTTTCAAAAGGTCCGGGGTTAATTAAAACCCCAAAAGAAAAAAGAAAGCTAAGGTTTAAATTTTTTTTTTTGGGTTTTTTTTTTAAAAATTAAAAAATTTTATTTAAAATTTAAAAAAAAAAAATTTAAACATTTTTAAAAAAATTTGGATAAACATTGGTTATTTTAACCGATTTTCTATCTTAATTTAATTTATGGGGGGATTAAAAAAAATTTCAAAACGTTTTAAAAACCCAAAATAAAAGTTTTTTTTTGGGGGTTAACCCCCCCCCCCCCCCCCCCCCCCTTTAAAAAAATTTTTAAAAAATATTTAATTTTGGAAAAAACTGAAGTAGATGGGGTTTTTTAAAAAAGTCAAAAAAAAACCCCCGCCCGGGTTTAAAAAAAAACCCCAAATTTAAGTTTTTAAAGTATTTAAATTTTTTTTTAAATTCCAAAAGGGGGTTTTTTTGTTTATAAATTTAAGGGGGGGCCCTGATTTTGTAGGAAAAAAACCCCAAAAAAAAGAATTTTTAGAAAACCCCTTTTTTTCCCCGGGAAAAATTTGACGAAATTGAAAAAACATTTTTTTAAAAATTTTTTTTTAAAAAATTTTAAAATAATTTTAGGGGCCTTTAAGGGTTTGAAAAAAAAAAAAAAAAATTTTTTTAATAAAGACCGGGGCCCCTTTTTTACCCCAGGGGGGTTTTTAACTTTAAAAAATCGGGGGGGCGGTTAGACAGTAAATTTCTTTTTTTTCGGGGGTTTGGGAAAAAAGGGGGGTTTTTGGGGAAAACCCCACGCGATATCTGGCCCCAAACGAATAAAAAAATTTATTTTAAATTTTTCGATTTTGCCCTGGAAACCGGGTAGCCCGGAAGGTAAAGAGTGCTTTGCCTTTACCTGTCGGTTTTTTAAAAGGGCTTTTTTGTGTTTAAAAACATTGGTTAAAATGGAAAATTTGGTTGCCGGGGGAAATTTAAAAATGTTTTAGGGAAAAAAGGGAAATTTCTATTTTTTTCTTTTTGGGTTTTCCCCCTCCTTTTGTGGGGCCCATTCAGAAGGCCGTGTTAAAAAAAGAGGGGGTATGGAAGGTTTTTTTAAAAGTTTTTTTTTTCCTTTTTAGGTTTTGGTTTGATTTTTTTTTCCCCCTTTTTATTTTTTCCCGCTGCCGTGTTTTTTAAACGGAAAAGGGGCTTAAAAACGAAGCCACCCAAAAGGGTGGGGGGCTTTCCCCGGGTGGCAAAGGGGGGTATTTTTTGGGAATTTTTTTTAGGGCTTTTTGGGGTTTTTGGGAATGGGGTGAATTTTTTTTTTTTTAGGGAAAAGGGGGGGGTTTTGGATGAAAAACTCTAACCCCCTTTGGGCGGTGTTTTTGGGTATTTTTTTGGACGTGGCCGGATAAAATTGGTTGCTGGTGGTTGGGATCCAAGAAAGTGACGCAAGTGGGGGTTGAAAAGGATCCCCGGAGGAATTGCCGCCCCCTAACCCCGGGGGCAAAAGGTTCAGGGGATTGAAATTTTTTTAGAACCCTTTTTTTTTTTAAAGGGGTTTGAATAAACCCCTTTTTTTCAAAACATTTGAAATTTTATCCCCTTTAAATTCCCCGGGTCCTTTTTCAAAAATTTGGGAAAATTGAAAAAAAAAAACAAAATTTAAGTTTGAAAAATTATGTGAAAAAATTTTTGAATAAATTTTAAATTTTAAATTTTAAAAATTTTTTTTTTTTAATTTTAAAATAAAAAGAAAATCCGGCGATTTTTTGTTAAAAAAAAAAAAAACCGGGGGCCTTTTTTTGGGGCCCAAAAAATTTTTTGTTTTAAAACACCCATCTAATTTTTCCCCCCCCCCCCCCCCCCTTTCCCCCCAATAAAAACCCTAGACGCTGTCCCCCAAACAATTTTAACTTTCCAAATTTTGGGGGGGCCCCAAACGTACAACACTTGCAAACCCCCCCCCCCCCCCCCCATTTAATTTCCGAAAACCCCTTTTGGGCCCGGGGGGGGAAAACCCCCTTTTTAGAATTTTTCCAGGGTGGCTTTAAAAACCCTATAAAACGGGTTGGTTAAAAATTTTAAATCCCTTTTTTCGGGGGAAAATTTTGGATAAAACCCCCCGGGAATTGGAAATTGGGGGGTTGGGAATTTGCCCTTTTTTTTGGCTTTTTATTTTTCGGGGGCAAAAGGTTAGATTTTTAAATGGCTTCCCCCCCCTTTTTTGGGCTTTCCCCCCATAATTTTTTTTATTTTAATTTTTTTTTTTTTTTTTTTTTCCTCATTTTTCCCCAAAAAATGCAGTAAAGGACCGAATAAAACCCAAAAGAAACAATTTAATTGAACCATAGGCGTAATTTCCCCTTAAAGGATGGTGGGGAAACCCCCCCTATTTTTCTTTTTGTTTTTTTTTTAAAAAAAAACCCTTTCCCGAAAAAAAAAAAAAAAAAACTCCCCGCCACCCCCAAAAAAAAAAAAAAAAAAAAATTTTTTTTTTTCCCCCCCCCCCCCCCCCAACCCCCCAAAACTTTTTTAAATTTTGGGGGAAGGGGTGGGGTGGGTTTTCTTCCCCAACGGGCGGGCGGTCGGGGGGGTTTAAAAGGCCCCCGCAGGTTCA